GCATTAAATAAAGGTTCATATATGTCAAAAGACATTTAAGAAGTTTGGAAAAAGAAGTAAGTCAAGTTAAAACCGCCTTCAAGAAATTAAGAAAGTCAGCTTTCAAATGTGACTAGGATTTTTAGTTTGATAGATTTCTATACTTGAACTATAGAGATCGGGTTGAGACAATTTTTTATTCTTTTCAAATATAAAATCAAGGAATACATTCTTATGAACACAGCTAAGTCTAATTTCAACATTTTCTATCCAAAAGTTCAAATTACAAAAGGAATTTGCTGGTCTTACATTTTTGAAAACTTCAAGAATTCTTTTCTGACCAATCAGTGGTATCTTAGACATAACTCTATACCTAGATATCCAATTGACTTGATTTTTAATTTGGTACAAACATAATTCATTTTCATACAACTTTCCTCTTTTGCTTCAGAGTTGAATGATCACTATTCAGAGTTATTTCTGCTTCAAATTAGTGGTAGAATAATCTAAATCCAATCTTGACAAGGTTTTCTACTCGTATGAATTCCAATTCCTTTCATATATAAAAGGGGCAATTTGTGGACAAATTTAAGGATCTTTTAGACATATTTTGGAGTCTAGAAATAATGTTGATCTCTAATTAAACTTAGTTTTATTAGGTTAGAGTAAGATTAGAGTAGGTTTTTCTTTGCTTAATACAACTTTAGAAAAAGATTGGAGGAAGAAGAAGAAACTCTTTGGCTGTCTTCGAATTAGAGTTTCTTTTCTTTTCTTTTCTTTTTATTTAATTCCATCTTGCTTATATTGTTGTATTGTGTTCTAAATTTTAATTATGTTAGCCAAATTTCTTGTTTTTAAGGATAGATAGAATCAATTATTCCTTAGTTAATAATCTTTCTTGGTTGATTGGTAATTCTTATGCATATTATTTTATACCTTTATCTTTGGCCTTTATATATATATATATATATATATATATATATATATATATATATATTGCTACACCACCCATATCAGATAGTAATTATTTTTCACCTTTATAATTAAAAGGCGGTTAATTTTAAAGCATCTAAGAAATAAATTGACTAACGAGAGTTTTAATTAATATTTGTTGGTAAAGGTATAAACTTCATTGTGTCACTCACAAAAATAAGGAATGAGAGTAAAAGGTTTTTGCATGATCTTATGAATATAATGACTCTTTAATTTGTTTTTTTATCACGAAAGTAGATTTAGACTTGTTCTTGAGAAAAGTAATGCACTAGCTAAAGCAAGTATTATGACATGTTGAGATCTACCACAGATTAGCACATGAGATAATTAATAGATCAAGATAAAGTTTTTTGCTAAGATAATTGAGAAAATCTAGATCCTAAAAATCGTTTACCTGGTTTAGTTATACATAATTTTGTTCCTTGTTTGACATCTTCATGCTGTTTTCTAATCTAATAATAAAGAAGTTTGACAATGTTACTATTTAGTAATCTTCTATGTGAGATACAACACCTGAATACTTACCTTGCCTGCATGGAATCCATGCTTTTACAGATGATAAGTAATGTTTAATTTAACTCTCTGCCCATGCACCCAATGTTGAGGTTACATTCTCCTTGGGGTACTGCAGCCTATAAGAATTTTGTAATGTGTTTCCTACTAAGTTGTCAACATGGAAAACTAATTTAGAGCAACTAAGAATCTAAACTTGGAACTTTGCAACAACACTCGATGCGCTACATACTGAGATAGGTAATTAAAAAATAGGAAAGCATCTAATAATAATTGCATGTAGGAGCATGCATCTCTATTTTGTGTGTAGTATGGTCATGCGACTCACCTGGTTACATGCGACTTTTTGCCCAGGTATCCTATATTACTCAAACGGTTTGAATCATTTCTAATTTTTCATGTTCATGAGATTTGTTAGCATAAAAGCTCTTAATTTATACAAAATTTACAAGTACAATTAAGTAAACCACAAAATCAAGAAACTAAAACTTATTTATTAATTGTGGTTTAGCAAAAAAAAAAAAAAAGAATGCAAGTTTTATGTTTACAACTAACTAAATTGGTAAATTAAGAAATAAAACTTTTTTATTTTCAGTTGTGCAATCCAAGTTGAATGACATTTAAGGGCTTCTTGATGAATCATTTTGTTTAACCAATTAGATATTGTCCAAAGTTGCTCTAATCTTCGCTTTCATACAATAATTATTAAAAGAAAAAAATGTCAAATATAAAAAGATACAGCAATACTACAAGTACAAAAATTTAAACTGTAGAAACGTGAAATAAAATATTGTTTATTTATGTTTGGCATAATCCATGTCTAATGCCTTTTAATTTATCAAATCAGAAGTGTAAAACATGTTCTTGATGGCACATTTCGTTATATCAAGTAAAAATGGTTTGACCCCATCTAATTTCTATTTTCATGCATTTTGTTAGTTACAAAAGATATCAATTACTAAATGATAAAAGATTTGACAAGTACAAATAATTAAATTACGAAATTAAGAAACTAAGTATTTTCTCTCACTTATACTATAAAAAAATTTTAAAAATGAAGTATTTGTCTTTGCAGTGGTACTTGTGTTGCTCTTTATTTTTTTTTGGCAAACCCCATGCTCGGGGGTAGGATGCCAGCCCAACTTTTATTAGAAGAAATCAAAAATACATAGCGAGGGACCACACCTTACCTCCAGCCTATAAGACCGATTAGACAAAGTTATCATCCATGTCTACCCCTACGAAAACTAGGACAACCCCACCTATCTAAAGTAATATCTCCTCTAACCATGCAGGGAAGGGCAAGGAAGGCATCATAAACAAACGTCTCCCCAGAATCAGCCCCAACCTTAGAAAGTCTATCCGCAGGTTTATTCGCCTCTCGAAAGCAATGTGAGATCTCTCTGTAATGATGGCTATACTGCAACAATTCTTGTAACTCCCGCTGCACCACCCATGGACACTTAGCTCTCCCCTGGATAATGTGGATAAGAACCAACGATTCAGACTCCAAATGTAAATTGGCCAGTCTCCAAGCTACTCCTAACCGCACCCCATGGAGTACCGTCCTCATTTCCGCTTGTAAACTAGTCATCTCCCCAAAATAACAAGAAAAAGCTAACAGGAACCTCCCATCACTATGTCGGAACAGACCTCCCTCTCCACTCCTCCCCGGATTACCCCTCGAACACCCATCTAAGTTTAACTTTACCACTGCATGCAACGGACATCTCCATCTAACCGTCAACACATTCACAGACATTCTCAACCCAGCTACCGCATCTAGGAGAAAAGACCACGACCTAAGCATACTCACCCCCTGAAAACGAGCGCCAAAACTATCATGAAGTTCATTAACAATTTGACCACAAACTTGTGTCACAGTCGCCACCCTCCCTTCAAAGACAAACTTATTTCTCGTTTTCCATAAGTTCCAACAAATCAATGTGGGCAGAATTAGAAACAAGAATCGAATATACATAGTTCGACCATATTTCAACCACCAAGCAATCACCTTATGCCTTATCGTGAGAGCTTCCCCAAACCCTTCGATCGACACTTCAAAGAAACTCCAGACTTGTCTAGCAAACTCACCAGTACAAAAGATATGGTTAATAGTTTCTTGAGAAGAATGCCAACAGCAAAAACAACGAGACGGGCCGACCACACCAAACTTATGCAGTACATCCATAACCGGCAGCCGACCATTCATCAATCATGCCACAAAAAAGGAAATTTTCAAAGGCAAAAACCGATGCCATTAAAAGGAGAAGATACTAGAACTATTACCACCCTGTCGCACCACCTGATATGCCGATGCTATAGAAAACTCACCCGAGCTAGTTGGATACCAAATCATTTTGTCCACCTGATCCGAAGAAGGAGGAGCCACCTCCAAGACCCTGTGCACCCAACTCATAGGCAACACATCATATAACCTCTGCCAATCCCAGTAACCTTGAACCACGAACTGCGCACCGACTAATCCTGGAAAGTTTCCACCTCTTGACATAGCGGCCACGATCCTAACCAATTGTCATGCCAAAAACTTAAATTTCCGCTACCCAATATCCATATCCATCATATATTCCTCTCCGCCACCACCTGAACATCCATCATCCTCCTCCAAGTGGATGATCCACACACCTGAATGTCCATCATGGATTGTTCGAACCGCTATTTTGGATGATATTTAATTGGTTAAAGTAAATGAACAATCCATTTTTGCCAATTGGAGCAGATCTAGCTTGGATTTAAATATCGTCCAAAATAGCTGTATCTTCATTTTCATACAATAATTTAGCAAAGGATTTCTAATATGAAAAGGTATAATAATTGTGCAAGTACGAAAATTAAACCATAAAATAGAGAAACAAAATTCCAAGTAAAAATTTTTCCAAAACCATTCTAATCTTCATTTCTTACACAAGTGCACAAGTTTTCTTAACTAACACATTTACTTTTATCAAATAAAAATGGTTTTAACTGTTCTCTTTTCTTATTTTCATGCATATGTTTAGTGAAAAAAGCTTTCAATTATTGAAATACTCACAAATGTTAGGAGTACTAGTAATTAAACTTGCCTATTGAGAAACAAAAACTTTTTTGTTCACTATAGTACAATACAAACTGATTGGTATTACAATTTTTCTTGACAAAAAAAATTCTTTTTTGGGGTTTAAAATATTACCTGTTATGCTGGGGGGGAGTTTAGCATGCCCCTACTGATTTTATTAATTAATAAAAAAATAGTGTGAGAAGGGCATAAATCTTACCTTAAGTATATGATACAAATATAACATATGCACTATGCAATATTCATTTTATCTACTCTAATGAGACCTCTAACTCAACTAGGAATATTGGAAATATTGGAAATATTGTAGAAAGAACTTCATCTTGTAAATCTACCTAGTGTTGCTAACTCATCTGCTGTCGCATTTGCTTGTCTAAATATAGGATAGAAAGTGCACGGTCTGCCTGCAATGAACCATTTGATATCTTGGATAGTGGAATCAATCTTTCATAGAATCGATGATAAGCCTGACAATATATCCATCATATCTCTCAATATGAAGGATTTGAAAATTATGTCGTATATCATGAGCAATTCCTTGTAAAGTCGGTATTGCTTCCACCTCCATGCTTCTCATATTCCCTAAGAAAGTTGAAAAAGCAACAATCATTCGACCAAATGCGTCTCTAACCTATCCACCACTACCAGATGATCTAGGATTGACGATTGAAGAACCATCCACATTAAGCTTGTGAGTTGATAGTTGTGGAGGTTGCTAAGAAATTGCAACTGGTACTGTTGACTTCCTTTTTTTTCATCCAATTCAGTAAGCCATTGATTAAGAACAAATCATCAGAGCCTTCATACCAACTAAATGGATAAGCTTGAGAGAGAGAGAGATAGCAACTACTTGTGAACTTGATGACAAATCCTCCTAACATTGAAAATTTTACCTTCATAGAAAGCCACCCATCTTGCTTTCCACGTCTCCTAACAAATAAAAGGGCTTCTCATTGATTCATTTACTTTAATCAATTACATATTTTGTTCAAAACTGCTCTAATCTTTATTTTTGTACATTAATCAGTTTAAAAAGCTTTTTTAATATGAAAAGATACTGTAATGCCCAAAGCAACCTAAGAGGGGGTTGAATTAGATTGATTAACAACTAAGCAAATTAAGTCAAATTTTCATCCAATTTAAACTCGTCAAATTACGTACGTAAGTGAGCAGACACATAAACAAATAGAATGTGATCAAACTAAAGTAACAAAATCACATATCATTAATCAAGTAAGGGAACAATAACGTAAGAAGGAAAGCAAACCAAATGAATTGGTACCTTCAACGGCAGCTTCTTGAGCTCCAAAACTTTACCAAACTTAGAGGTCAATCAACTAGGTGCTTCTTCTAATTATTGGTGATGCAAAGCAACTTGTATAAAGAAGGGTTCACTCCTTGCTCACACTGAGTATCCCAACTCTAGTTGAGTGAAGAAATTTTACAACTCATCCTAGTTAACTCTCTGTAAGTTACAATTAAATGCCCACTCTAACAATGAACAACACTTACACGTGAATCTCACCTTCTCCAAGGTTTTACTCCTCCTTAATGAGAAATTTCACAAACCCAAGAACTTTTCCCACACCTATACAATATTTAAAGTGTCTTTTAATTCAAAAATCACTCTTGAAAACTTGTATTCCATATAAGCAAAAGTTTTCCTTCTTTTCAGACTTGAAGATATTTGTAAGTAGTGAAATTTTGCACCAAAAGTCTCTCCAACGGTCAAAAAGACTAGATGTTGGACCTGTCAGACATCCAATTTAAATGCTCTATGTCTAAACCATTGCTTGATTCTACTTTGGGGTCTCTTTGCTAAAACGTTCAGATATTTGATAGAAATGCTTATATGTCCTGTGGATTATATGACAGCAATAGAGAGTTTAGCCAACTTATCGGACATCTAACAGGCATGTTATGCATCTGAGAGAGCATTCAAAGGTTAGCAACAATATTTTCTTCAATACTTTGGACGTTTGCTCATATACCATGCGTCCGAGGTTGCATCCGAAGTCCACTTCATTTGCTTCTTGAAGTGCTACAAATGTCCGATCAACCCAGCGTGCATTTGAAGTTTCGTCCGATGTTCAGCGAAAATCTTCTTTTCTTCTTCTTTCTTTTGCCAATTATTTGAGCACCTATGCTAATAAAATTCTCACTAAAAATATTAGTCCAAATTATCATTTTGACTTGTTAATCATTAAAACCAAGAATTGATCAACCTAAGCCTTCAACCTTCCCTTTTTTATGATGACAAATGAAATGATGATTTCTTTGATCAAATAAATTCAAATAGACTCTGCATTACCCTATGGTATCTCAAGTAAAACTCCCCCCAAGTTCAAGCGCAACATTTAAAGAAATATCATTCAATCTTCTCCTTCTTTTGATATCATCAAAAATAAATAAGTACAAAGGGACATTGTACATGAACAAGGAATTGCAAGAAACTCCCACTAAAGTTGAGGAAATATTGATTTTGATCAAATGTTTCTATGAGGTCCCGAAATTTTACTTGTCTTTATAGCTCTTATTTGAACTTACTTGCCTTAAATTCTTGGTTGCTTTTATGGTTGAATCATGATTTTTCTCTTATTGTATTATTTAACTTGGTGCATGTTTAATTTGGTGCATGTTAAGTTTTATAGTACATTACACTAGTGTGACCAACTAGTGAGGTATGTGCAATAAATTTGGTAGATTTGAAGGAGTTTTGTATACAAGGGATTATGTGACAAGAGGTGTTAAGAGTTAATTAGAGGAGTATTAGATATATTAGTGATTGGAAACAAATAGAGAAACAAATAGAGAAACAAAAAGATAAACAATACATCTTTCCTTGCCATTTGTCAACTAGTCTACCAAGTTTGACCAAGACCCTTGACCAAGACCAAGTTTTCTTCTTATCCAACTTGAGCTCTTATCATTTCACTATTTCTTCTTCTTGTTCCTTGGCCTTGGACGAATTTGGAGAGGAGAAAAGAGGGAGAAAACCACAAAAAAATCCAGCCTTGATTTCTTGCTTGAATCATGAAGAATCCAATGAAAAATCCTAATTTACTCCGATCAATCTTGAGGTAAGTTTGGAGGGAAGCTTTTGGTGAAGTTTTGGAAGAAGAAAATCTTGCATCCCTCTTGATTTGCTTGTCATCTTTGGGGTTGGAGGTCAAGATTTAAACTTTGCTAGAAAACCTAACTTTCTTGATGTTTATATGATTATTTACTAGTTTTACTTGAGGAACTACTAGGTTTTCTTGATATATGATGATTTCTTAAGTTTACTTGATGAACTACTAGATGTTACTACTAGGTTTTTAGTTTACTTGATGTATGTTGCTTTAGGGTGAAAAAAGCATGACTTTTATGGAAGATTTCATGGTTTTCAAACTTATATTCGAATTTCCAGCTTTAGGGTTAATTTCCAGCTTTGATTGGTATTTTCCAGCCTTGAGTTGAGAGTTTCCAGCTTTGATATGGACTTGTGAGTTTGATATGAAGATATCTAGCTTGGATATGGACTTGTGAGTTTGATATGAAGATATCTAGCTTGGATATGCACTTCTAGCTTTGTTATATGATTTTTCCAGGTCTAGTAGTTAATTTCCAACTTTGCTATGTTAATTTACACCCTTGGAATGCCAATTTCAGCTTTATTAGGAGATGTTCAAGTTTTGGCATGCAATTTTAGTTTTGATATGAATATTTCCATGCTTTGGTTTGAAATTCCAGCTTTGAGATGAAAAAATTTCAGCTTTGGTGTAAGTGATTTGGAGCTTGTTATATATGTTCAAAGTTGATAGTTTTGTGGCCTTGATAAGGTTCATTTACTATGAAACTAAGATGTGAATTGGATGGTTAACTTGAAGAAAAATGGAGACATATCGCTGGATTTTCTCCTTGTTGGTCAAGTGAGGGTTGAGATGTGAATTTAGGGCATTTTGTCTTTCTCTTGCATATGACTTTTCTCAAAACACTTGTTACAATCTATTTCTTTGCATGTGTGTTACTTTTGGACCAAAACAAAGAGGTTTAAGAAGGGAAAAACCTAGTTTTCCAAACTAATTGCTTGTTGGAAAATTTTCGCAGGAAGCGCTGCGCAACTTTGGGAAATTGACTATAACTTCGGATAACCCTAGCAAGATAAGGAAACCCTAGCAGCCGTCACGTTATTGTTCTTGCTGCCCAAGCGACAACCAACTAACGAGACAGATTTGGGAGCAACGTTGAAACACCAACAACCAGAATTTTTGATGCAACAAACGACTCAAACGCAAGAAACAAGTTGTGGACAGAAATTATCAACAAACTAGACACAACACAAAGGAGATAACACACCAACAGATTTTTGTGTTCGGATGAACAGTAACGTGAACAGTGTCGTATGAACAGTGTCGGATGAACAGTAGCGGTGAACAGTGACGTTTTTTTTTTTTTTTTTTAAAACAAGGCAGCGGAAAATAAGGAAAACTAGACAAACTACGGATATAACGGAAGATACCTCCACCAAAGCTCTGAAGCCAACTGATACGTTCCTCGATCAACACGTTTCGAGACACGTAGCACGTTTGCCCAAGGATCTAGCGAGGATGTCCAACGCTTGGAATTGCGGGATCTAGAACCAAACGGACGACACGATTTGATTCAAGACGGTAGACGACACTCCGATGAAGGTGAATACTCCAGGGGAATAGGTCGGTAGAACAATCTAGGACAGGACGCAAGACTGCTCAAAACCCTTGCCAAAGCAAGTAAAGGGGTCGAATCTCTCTCTCAAGAAGAATCGAAAATATGCAAAACTTTATTGATAAAACGTCTACCTAAAACCTTACAAAGCAAGCCTATTTATAGGCTAAAGTGACTGAAACCCTAAAGGGACTAGGAAAGGGAAAAGTCGGCCCATGGTCTTGGGACAAGATGGGCCGGCCCATGGTCTTGGGACAAGATGGCCGGCATGCTCTTACTTAAACACTAATCAATTGCTAAATAACTACTAAGGCCTAAGGCCCTATTCGGCCAACTCATTTGGAGGCCCACTTGACTCTTCATGGGCTTGGGTCATGGTGTAGATAACTCGATTAAAATCCTTCAAGCCTTCAATATCTCTATGGACTCCATGTTGGTTTTGGACAATTCGAACAAGGGCTTGGAGGGATTCTTTGAAGAGCTTGGCTCGTGCACGTGTGACTGGGCCCAATGGAACTCGGACTGGGTCATTACTTGGGCTAAGGTCCGTGCACACATCAGTCCCCTCCACTTGAGCAGGATTTGTCCTCAAATCTGGATGGAAATGAATGACACGAACAAGGGTTGGTATCATGGCTCCAGTGGCTCCTCTTGTTCGTATCACTTATACCCTATTTAAAGTATCAAGACTTTCCCTTTCCATATTCCCAATTCTCCTAGAAGGTAAAATGCACATAATTAATATCTGGATATGAATATAATTGAAATTGAACAAATATACATTAGAATAATTTTTTATTTGTTATTGTTTTTCTCTTGACTTTTTTGCTCATGTGAAAGGGAAAAAAATGCCATTCCTCTTCAATCAATTATAATTTCATAAAACAAGGTAGTTA